ATACTAGTGAGACAATAAATCAAGTTAATCATAAACAAAACCCAAACAAGTAGCAGAAAGCTCCTCAAACTCATATTTAGCCTTGCTGTGATGAAAAGCAGTGCCTCTGGAAGATCATTTTTAGTCAGGCAGTCATTTTACTGAGACTTACTTTGTTTGTGGGCAGGAATCTATCTACCTGAAGCCTTTAAAAAGAAAAATTTAATAATAGTAATAATAATAATAAAAATAATAACAACAACAACAACAACAACAACAACAACAACAACAACAGCAACAATTTAAGCCTTTAAAAATAAAAAATTACACTAATGTAGTAAATACATGCTTCCAGTTTCAGTGATTCCTGCATTTTTGGGGAAAACTGTGTGGGCCAGGACAATGTAACTCCTACATTTAACAGGAAACTTTTTGTTTGTTTTCAAATTGATGCAAGATATTGCTGCACTTTATGACTGCATTCACTTTAGATATGTGAATTAAATAGGTAGCCTGAAATGATTTGCATTTGATAGCTGCTCATATTGCTACAGCTTTTAAACTTACTTTTAAATCTCCACAAGCCAAAGAGAAAATACCCCCAGCAAACATTTTTTTGTATTAAACTACACTAAACTAGACTAAATGAGACTAAGACAGTATTTTCCTTTAGCTGCTATAATCTACATGCTGTTCCCTCTAATATTCCGAGTGCAAACTGAGTTAAACAGGAAGTCTTTGTGAGTTTCTTTGCATGCCAAGCTCAATGATGGCACTTTAAATCCAAAAGTGGATTTGTAACAATTGCCTGTAATTAAATGGGTTATGAATTGCTTTAGTTAATTTCGCACAAGCTCAAAGCATAGCTGCAGTTACAGCACTAATGCTAAAGCAGAGCTGGTTTTCATTTTCCAGTATCTACCAGGCTCTATTGCAACTAAGAGCCCTCAATGTTATAAATATATAAAATATATATTTTTATTTATAAATATATATTTATATATAAATATTTTTCTATTTATAAATATTAAATTTATATTAATGTATTTATATATTATAGAAAATATATATTTATATATTTATATAAATATATAAAAATATATAAATACTTATATATTTGATTAAGAGTAAGGCAAAGGAGAAGGCAATGACATGAGGCATCTGATGAACACTTTTACAACAGTGAAGAGGGAAGATGGCATTTGCAGCTATGACTCTCCACCTAGTTCATACCAACTTTCAGAATTTTCCAAATGTTAAGAGAATACTATGATGTCCAGTTCAGAAGGCAAATGTGAGATGCCATAAGGACTACTGTGCCCACAGCTAGACTGTAGATGGATGCCTCTATGTAGCCCTTCAGCAAGTAATGGGTGTTTGGTGTTTTTGGAAATGTTGCTTTCAGCATTTCTTATGTCCAATTTAAAATGAGAGAAAATGAAATTTATTCTATTTTGTGCACTTCTGTTCCTCTCAATATACTTGGCCACCTTTAAATTTGTAAATTCATTTTTCTTCATAATAAATTTGTATATTGTTATTTATTGATTAATGTTCATACAACCTGTTGCACTCTTTTAACACCTTTTTTTCCTTTTGGCTCCTAGTTTCTGTTAGAGTTTGATTTGAAAATGCCAGCAATATCAACTGCAGTTTTACAAAGATCAAAACCCACAGTGTGTCTTAAATATTTTTATTAATTCTGAAAGTTAGTGTGGTAGTGGTGGCAGAATTGTCCAGTGGAATTATTTTCTTCAGGGAGACTTAAACTTTGACATAATGGGCACTCTCCCAGTAATGAAAAATCAGTGCTGTGTGAAAGAGAGATCTTGGAATCTTAGGGACAGTGGCATTTTGTGAAGGAAAGGAAAATACATAACATGGATGAGGCTGAAGATCATTAATTTCAGTTGCAAGTAATTACAATTCCATGCGAAAAACAAGAGAGGTATCAGACATTTTCTTCTTATAATCTTCATCAAATTTCTCATTCTGTGCCACAGTGAAATGATTCTTCCAGTCTGCAACAGTCCCTAAGAAATGGCAAAATGGCAAAAAAAATAAAAATCATTTACTAGTATTTCTTGAAGCTCATTATCCACAACTTATCAGATACTTGTACTTCAAATGCTTATTTCAAAACAGAATGACAACCAGAGTTGATATCAATAAGAAACCTCAGTACCTTTTCTCATGAATGGGGAAATGGAGTGATCCATTATTCCTTCAAAGTCTTTAGTGTAGTTTGCCATGGGGTTTTCCTTCATTACCTCAAATGAGGTATTATGGACTATTTTGTTTAGAACCTCCTGACTCAGATCCTTCTCTAGAAACTTTGCAATCTTCTGAATTTCTTGCTTAGGATTCTGCAGAGACAATTACATGGGATAAGATACAGAGGTGGGAAAAGCAAAGAAATCAAACATCGTGTGAGAGCTGCAATTCTCAGAGAAGATCAGGTTATTGTATGGTTTACTGATACTGGCATTACAATATAAAACTGTTGCTTGTAGTTAGTATCTACTAAGCTTACAGATTTCAGAGCTCTATAAACATATGTTCAGCCTTTTACCTCCTTCATATCTTCATAGAAGAGATAGAGAATACGGTGCTTGTCTTTTGCCTTCCACCATCCTTTTACATGGTCATACCAGGAACCCCAGAGGACTGAAAAAGAAGTAATATCAACAGCAGCTATGAATGTCCCAACTGTCTTTTAACACATGTGGCACTCACATTTCCCTCTTAACCAGTACCTGTGAATTTCCAAGCTGGTTTTGAATCATTATGACTGTGATAATAAGCACTGCTGTGCTCTGTGCTTATTACAGCATTTTTGCTATTAATCCCTCAGTTTTATGGATGCTCAGAACAGGATTCATGTGTAACTTTAGAGGTCAACAAATGCAGATACATTATAGTCAATGGAAAGATACATTTCCAGTATTCATTTGATCAGCTGAACAAGGCTTCTCTTAATTGGCCCTGTTTTGAGCAGGGCAAGGGTTGGGACTGTATGGACAATAAAAATCCATTCCAGCTTGCATTATTCTATGATTCTACCTGATTTTAATATTTGCCATGCTATCAGAAGTGCCTGCTTCTCTCAAGCAAGTGTCAAAATGGCTATCTAAGACAAAAGGAGATAAGTTCTTTGTCTGTACTGGGACAGATGGCTCCCAAGCTGAGCTGGTCAAACACAAGACATGAGGTCTCCTTTGGACGTGTGACTCTTGTGCTGGTACAGACAGTGGTATTTCTAGGCCTACAGGGTGGCAAAAATACTAATCACTTAAGGAAGCTTTAATGACCCAATCTGTAAAATGCCACCCACTTGACCAGGTTTTGTTTCTTGGATATCCTGTGGTATCAGCACCTCTTCTAGAAAGAGAGGAGTCAGCTTCTGGGGTTGCCTGCCCTTAGATACCTGTTTTTGTTCAGCTGCCTGATTTTTAGATACATTAATTTAGGTACAAAGCTCCCTTATCTCAAATTCACACTGCACATTTCTAGCAAAATTAACTCTCCGCTTATTTTTTAAATTTCAAATTTTATCGGGTTAGAGTAAAACCAGTTAAACCATTGTTCCTTTTCAAATGTCTTCCCTTTAATCTCAGAGAGAAGAGATGAAGCCTGAAATTTGTTATATATGTTTCTGAATTATAACAGAATAAAGAATAGTGTTTTGATTTTTTCTCAAAATGGGAGCTTAAAGAAAGATTTATTCCTTTAGGTAATAATAAAAACCTATGAATGAAGAAAAATTATGACTTAAACACCTTCAGCAAATATCCTTCCACAGTGTCTGCGCTGGATTTCAAACCAAAACTGAAATTAATAAATCTATGCCATGGATTCTTAAAATCATCAAAATCTCTTGTACAACTGATTGCAGTTAACCACCTTGTCCAGTCACAAATTTCTCCACAAACTCCTCCCAGCTTCCTGGATCAGGCAATTCTTTATTCATTCTGTGGAAATGGTAGTATGACACGAGGTTGTCTTTTGCATTTCTTGCCACGTAGATTATCTTTATCGATATGAAAAGAAGGAGAAATAAATTAACTTGCACATACAAATATAGATATTGAAGGATCTCCTGGAGTTTTCTCTTGGAGCCTGCTGGAGCTGTTTAAGAGGTTTTTCTTTGAAGCTACCATTTTCTAAAATCCAGGTCAGGTAACTTAGTCATGACTTTAGATTCCCATGGACTTTGCGCATTAAAGGGAAAATATTTTTAGAGACCTTTTGATTTCTCAGAGATTCTGGAAAACATATTCTGCCCTGGTTTATGTCACTTTCTTTGTGAAGTACAGTAGGCCTCTTCAGCCTTACCTTACAGTTTTGTTCCCAGAAGGATGGAGGCAGCAGCTGCACGGGCAGATGTGTTTTGATTGTTCGTGGTGATGGCATGGCTTCAGCTAACTCCACACCTGTGGGATGTTTAATTAGATGTGAGTTGTTCTCTAGATTGCACTAGCACTTCTTTCCTATGCTCACACATGTGAGAGTGATTGTGACTTTTCAGCAGTTCACCTTGCATTGATCATTCATCTCTAAAGCACTTACTCAGCAGGGTAACATATACAACATTACGTAAGCATCTTCAACGTGTCTAGAGAAAATTTTACCTGTGTATTTGAGTAGAAAAGGGGAAACACTGATTTATATCTTTTTGCTTTCTTGGGCCCATATCTGACTCCTCTCCAAGGGATGATGATGAGTACTGATTTCTATTTATCCAACCAAAGTTTTTCCTTTGCAATATTTAGTGCTGTCCTTCCACCTTACAGGTAAGAAATTTTAGTTTCTTTCTAGGATACAAGAATATGATGGCTGACTACACTTTGTGGATAGGATGTAAATACAAACCAGGAGTGGATTTTCAGTAGCTATGCATATATGGGAGAACTTGGGAATATCTGGTGATATTTGGAAATGGGTTATCTCCTTCCCTCTGCCTATTAAACATCTATCATGACTTCTATAATTTTTCCCTGTCATCATAGATCATCCTCTGTCAGCTATAATTTTTTTCTCTCTGTGTCAACACAGTCTAGGTTAGAAGAGAAAAAGTAGCTTCTGCAGAGCTAATCAAACTTTTTAGCTTCAAATGTGAGAGTCTGACTTAATGATTTTTTGTGGAAATGGAGCCCTTGCTGGAGGAGACTTTTGTAAGAAACTGCAAGCCAGTGAAGCCTGCTGGTTGCCTGAATGTTTCATAACTTGTTTAGATGACTGGACCCTAGAACAGCAGCAGTAACTTGAAACTGTAGCAAAACCACTGGAAACATTATGTACCTTTTGGAATACCTCTATGACACAGGTTTCTCTTCCATACAGCCTGTAATCACAGAATGGCATTCAACTGCCCCCATGTTGCCATTTTATACATATCTGCTGCAGGTTTAGATACTGTGGAGTATCAAACACAGCTTCAGATACCACTCCAAAACATGGTCTTCAGTAGCACCTGAAGCGATCACATCTGCCAGCCTTGCAGCACCTTGAGTACCACTAGATGTTTATGTTAAAGCACCTGAACTGATCCCTAATAGCCAAAATGGTGCTTAGTTCAAGAACAAAGCAAGTGGGACCCTTTCCAGGAAACTTGTGGCATCAGTACTATTGTGGGAACCAAATTAGCTGGGATGGATAAAACCTTGGACTGGGCTCCTGACATAGAGGGAACAAACCTGAGGCCTTGGGAGGTGGGGTGCAGGGGGGATGCTAATGAGATCATTCTATAATAGGTCATGTCCCTGGTCTGTGTTCTCGACTGGACCCCTCCCTAAGATACCCCTATACATTGTAAGTTCACCACACCCCTTGGTGTTTGGGAGCAGCCCCTCAGACCATGCCGTCCCTGTGAACATTAAAATCTAACTTTGGGCACTCCATCGTACCTGTCCTGATTTGTTCTGCCGTGCTCGATCCAGCCGAACCGGGAGAGAAGTCTCAGAACCCCACTGCAAAACACTATGTGCTTGTTTTGTTTCATTTTGTCTAAAATACAAATAATATTCACCTGAGTAACGTGCAGATGGAGGCTCTGGCGTAAACCATTCAAGGAAAGGGTGGCGTTTGTAAGTAGTGTCACGTTTACACTTCTCAGTATCTCCGTTTTGTTGAATCATGTCCACTATCTCCTGTGTCCATGTGGTACCTGAAAATGACAAATGTTTAGATGTTTCCCTCCAGGATAGTCAAGAGTTTCTTCTACCAGGGGGCTGAAAGCCAGAAGGATGGACTCTGTGCTAATGGGGGAAAGAATAGCATAGAAAATAATAGACAAAATGGAAAGAGTATAATACAGACAAAAGGCCTTGCTAAGCAACAAAGGTAATTCCCAAAGCTCAATTCAGGAATTCCATTTTAGACAGACTTCCTCTTGCTTAAAGAAATAGCCCCCGCACCAGTACTGGAAAAAACCACTGGGATAAACTCACTATTGTTTAGAGACGATATTATTTGCAGAGGAATGAAACTCCCTCCTTTCATCCCTCACAAACATTCAGGTATTTCAATTTTATTTTTATACTGAATTTGAGTAAGAAAATGCAATACCTGAACTTCAAGTGAGTTAAAATTTCATACAGTTCGAAAATATAAAAAACTGGCAGTGCTTGCAAAGTTTCCATTTGAAACATGTTAATGAAGGTATGTACAACGTTTCATCTGCCTGAGTGCCTGCAACATTTTGTGAGAGTTACAGTATAGTGTATCTCATGTGTCTCTTTTATAGCTGTCATCGCTGTGTCAAGTGCATCTCCTCTGAGGTACTGTGGCGGGTCAGCTAGAGAACAGGATAAGGGATAAATTGGAAAGCAATTTGGGCAGGAGATTCAGCTCTTCTTAAGATGCTTGTGTTGTGCATCTCACACAGATATGACATAATGTCAGATGGAATCCTAACTTTATTTATTTTCAGTTCAGTGTCTGGAAGGTTTTAATCCCAGCTGGATAAAATAATGTGGTTTTGCCTTCAGTGTACAGGTATTAAATCAAAAGCTTTCAGGTTTTACAAAACTGATGGTGGATTTTTTGTTAAAAACATCAAAAAAAACCCAAAAACAAAACCCTAAAAATTGTTGCTAATTCAAATAATAGTTTTTTATGATGATCAAATTCTCCCATATCTCTTCATGAATCTCCAAAACTGCATGTTTTTCTTCATACAGAATTAATATTGATGCTTGTTGTTAATTGTTTTCTTGTGTGGTAATTATAAAGGGTTTGATGAAGAGGAGAAATCTTGTCCAGTCACTGAGTAAAATGCTAGATAGCTAATATTAATGGCGGTATCTTATTTTATTTTATTGGCCAAAATTATTAAATTAATTTGCTTATTTTAAAGAATTAATCAAGTTTCAGAAATCACTACTGTTTACACAAAAAAATCATTCCCCAAATACCTAATATGTTCCATAGTCACAGAGTCAGTTTCTGTTATTTCTTAGTAATTATCACTTCTTTCCAGTCATTGTTAAATCACTGCATATTGGTGGAAGACTTCTATTGCCACCATTAATATAAATGTACATAATCTCAATTAAAGGTAACAATTATAGGTCATTAGATTTTGGCCATTTGCACTTCAGTAGTAACAGATGGTTGTTGCATCTGCCAAAGAAGTCAGGACTTACTTGTCACAGCTGACACAGCTTCATGTCTTTAAAATATGTCTAGTTTGGAGTTAAAAAATTATCAGTCACTGTAGAAAAACCATAGACCTCAACCCCAACAATAAGAACTATGCCAAACTTTTCTATTCTGTTTCCTATCCACACCTACCTGCTTTTGCATAGGTTGCGATGAGCACATCATCAGGCCTGGCTTTGAACTTCCACACTTGGTCCCAAACACTGGCAATTGGTTGTGTGAGGGGAATACCTTTCAGGTCAAAAAACTTTGATCGAGTCACTGTCTCTTCCAGACTCAAATCTTTCATTTTATCCATGGCCAGTGAGAACTGCATGAAGAAAGGCTTAGAATTAACATGGTTGCTCAGAAAATAATCTGAATTTACTCATCTTGAGGTCTGTCTTACTGATCAAATTCCATGTCCTTTGATTTCTTTGGCCATGATTTGGCCTATCTGGATCCATATATAGACTCCTTAAAGCTGGATCTCATTTTCAGATATGCATGATGTATAGCTAGAGGTAGTTTTCTGTGTCTGTAAAAATCATTCTCTTTACTCAGATACAAAAATAGAAAAAAGTCATTATTCTCATATCAAATACATTCATGTAAAATTCTGATGGTCAGTATGAGGGCTTCTAAAGGCAAAAAAATGTAATCAGAGGTGTGAGTCAAAAGAAGGAAGAGAATAACATGCAATGAAATCAGCATACAGGACCCAACCGTTCCTCCATGAAGAAAATAAACAGAAACTAACTGCTAATACCCTTTGTGCCTTATACTCACAAAAAATATTTGAAGACTTTTCCTGTGTTTTGTTCCTGGACCTTTTCACTCTTGGAATTCTTTGCTGTATCTTGAAATATATTGCACAAAAATAACCTGAACTAGATTGATCATTAACTAAAGGTTGTTAGACTTTAATTATGTAAATCAATCTGTTTTACAAAAACTAGTTATTGATTTTGGGATTTCTCCCAGGGAGACCTCTTAGGCATAACTTTCAGAGCTCCAGAGTCTGGTCAGAGGAAAGCTGTGCTTAAGGAGAGAGTATAGAAATAATCTCAATAAAAAATATAATCTAGATAAAAAGACATTTCAATCCCAACAACAAACATTGCTAGAATATTTTCTTTCATTTTCTTGTTTACTCACAGCAATTTCATACAGATTCAGCTGAGCAGAGTGAGATGTTAAATTGGTGATTGGACAGTGACTCAAGAAATTTAAAAAAATGAAGGAAAAAGAAACTTGCCTGAGAATTTTTCCTGCTCAAATGTCTTCAGTCCCTGGCTATATTGACAACTATGCAGGAACTTAAATCTTCAGGCACAAGCAGGTTGAAAACTTGTGTGGGTGGAGATTCCATTATTCCTATCAGTGTGAGGAGAGTAAAGGAGGAAGTGCAGCAGCAGCCAACAGCCAGAGCAGTTTTTCTGGCATGGTTTATGAAATCCTTTCTAATCCTGTGAAAGAAAACCACTTGGAATTCTCATCTAAAGTGTGATTCTTTACTGGCAACAACATAAAATGTCAATAGCTCCAGCAAGATTATTTTGATTTCTCTCTCTCATTGTCAGCAGTCTTGGAATAATTAATTTTCTTCCTAATATCTAATCTAAATTGGAAAGATCCCGTGTGTGTAGGTAAAGGAAAAAACATTGCAAAAATTTTATTCTCTACTTCCCATCAGCAGGTGATCCAGCCACCTCCCAGGAAGCAGGGCTTCAGCCCTCAGGTGGTTGCTGTATGTAAGCCTACTGCACTTATTAGCACTATAAGGTGGCTATGGGGAAAATTAACTCCATCCTATGGATGGGGCATCCCCAATTTCTCTGGGCAGCCTGTTCTACTCTCTCACTACCCTCACAGTAAAGAACATCTTCCTTACAGCTAATCTAAACCAACTCTATTTCTGTTTGAAGCCCCCTTGCCCTGTCACTACATGCCCTTTCTCCATCTTTCTTGCAGATTCCCTTCAGGTGCTGCACGGTCTCAATTGGGTCACCCTGAAGCCTTCTCCAGGCAGAGCAATTCCAATACCCTCAGCCTTTCCTTATAGGAGAGGTGCTCCATCCCTCTGATTGTCTTGGTGGCCTCCTCTGGACTCACTCCATCAGGTTGATGTCCTTCCTGTGCTGGGGACCTCAGAGCTGGATGCAGAACTCCTGGTGGGGTCTCACCAGAGCAGAATAGAGGGGCAGAATCATCTCCATGAATGTACTTCCCAGCCCCCTCTGGATGCAGCCCAGGACACATTTGGCTTTCTGGGCTGCAAGTGCACATTGCTGGCTCATGTCTAGACTCTCATCCATCAAGCATCCCCAAGTCCTTCCCCCCAGGGCTACTCTCCTTCTGTTCATCCCTACCCAGCTTGTGTTGATACTGGGGGATGCCCTGACCCAAGTGTGGCACCTTGTGCTCGGTCTTGTTAAATCTCATGAGACTCCCATGGGCCCACTTCTCAAGCCTGTCCAGATCCCACTGGATGGCATCCTGTCCTTCAGGTATGTCAACAGCACCACTCAGCCTTGTGTCATCTACAAAGTTGCTGATGGTACACTCAATCCTTTGTCATTAATGAAGATATTAAATAATGCTGGTCCCAGTTATGGACTCCTGAGGGACTTTACTTGTCACTGATGTCCATCAGGACTCTGAGACATTGACCAGTATCCTCTGCATGCTACTGTCCAAACACTTTCTTATCCAACAGTTCACCCATCTTATCCAACTCTCTCCAATTTAGAGAGAAGGATTTTGAAGGGAATCGTGTTAACAGCTTTATATAAGTCCAGATAAATGACATCTGTAACCTTTTCCTTTTCCACTCATATGGTCACTCTGTCATAGAAGGCCACCATGTTGGTCAGGCAGGGCTTTCCCTTGGTGAAGCCATACTGGCTGTCCCTAATCACCTCCCTGTCCTCCATTTGCCTGAGCACAGCTTCCAGGGGAAAGCTTCACAGAGGTGAGGCTGACAGGTTGGTGGTTCCCAGGGTCCTCCTTGCAACACTTTTTAAAGACAGGTACAATTTTGTCCTTTTCCCAGTCACCTGGGACTTCACTTGATTGCCATGGAGAGTGGCTGGGCAACTGCATCAGCCAATTCTGTCAGGATTCTGGGATGTATCTCTTTGGGTCCCATGACTTTAGTATGTTCAGGTTCCTAAGATAGTCATGAGCCTGATTTTTCCTTACAGTGGGAGGGACTTTGTTCCCTCAGTTCCCATCCTGCTGTCCATCAACTCAAGAGATGTGGGAAGAGAGATTGCCACTAGAGGCTGAGGCAAAAAAGTCTTTGAGCACCTCAGCCTTCTCCTCCTCCATTGTTACCAGTTTTCCATCGTTGTTTATTGTTGGGAGCTTGCCTTCTTTAACCTTTTTTTCTCTGGTTAACATACCTATAGAAGCCCTTCTTGTTACTCTTTGTGTTGCTTGTCATGTTCAGTTCCAGCTTTACCTTTGCTTTCCTCACCCCATCCCTGTGCAACCTGACTATCTCAATAATCTTCCCAAGTTATCTGTTTTTTTCTCCACTATCTGTGCACTTGCTTCTCTCTCCCTTTAGTCTGATCAGCAGTTTTCTACTCAGTCTTGCTGATCTTTTGCCTTCTTTGATTTCTTCCTCTGAGGATTGATACCTCTTGCTTCTCTATGGAAGCCTTTCTTAAGGCTCTGCTAGCTCTGTTCTGCTCCCTTGTCCCTGAAAGCAGTCTTCCCAAGGGATCTTATTGACTACTTTCTTGAAGAGCTGGAATTTTGCTTTCCTAGAGTTCAAGGCCTAACTTTACTCCTCACCTGATTCATATCCCTCAGGATATGCAAATTCCTCAGCAAATTCCACTAATGCATGATGAGCTCAGCCCAGGCTGGCTTGATCCTGATGTCCCTGATTAGCTCACATATGTCGGTGACCACCAACAGATGCAATGTCACATCCCCTCTGGTAGGGTTTTCTATTCCCCAGCTTGAAGCACTTGAGTATTGAAGCAGCCAGACAGAAATCCACTCACCTTGTGGCTGTAATCTTTTAGCATGTTTCAGAGTTCTAATGGGGCTGTATTGTTTCCTCTTTCTTTTTGAATTCTCACTCCTTCCTCCAAAATCTTTGTTGAAAAACCAACTTCTTCGTAAAACCCTTTGTCTTTTTCCTGCCTCCTTTCTAATTGATGATATGGATCCATTATTTTCCTTGTCAACTTTTTCACAATTACTGTCATTGCTTGGATCCCTATCTCAACCATGGTGCCCTCCAACATATTTTGTGTCCCTGCCTCAACTACAGTCCTCTGACAGTATTGAACTGTGGCTCAATGGGCACAGTCCAGGCTCCAATACAGTGCTAGAGGCTGCAGATTTTCAGTCTGCTAGAGCCATTTGTCTGCTCAGGTGTAAAGTCCCAGGTTATGGGAGGAGATAAGTATCCTGGGAATCTGCCCAAAGCCTTCCACAGACCCTGGCATCCTGTCTTTTCTGGCATCCTTGTCTTCTCTGATACCAGGACAACACCAGATTCCACAAGCTCAATAATATGTTAACCATGTTAATTATTAGTATGAAAGTTCATGTAAGAGTGAACAAGGACCTTGTGTGCCTGACTTATGAACCATCCATATCAGTCCCAGGTAGGAGAGATGTATTCCCTCATTGTCTCCACAAGGCAGATATAGCACAGCAAGGCCAGGAGTTCCATGGCAAAACACAGAGATATTTTTTGTATTAACATGTGAGAGAAGCAGTGCAGCCATCAAGCTGTGACCTGCACTGGAGTTTGCCACTTAATACTTACCATAGCTACTGCACACTTAAGACAAAACTGCTGTTATCTTGAGCCCCATGTTGGGTGCCAAAAATGACTGTGGTGAGTTGACATAGGATACCAGCTGCCCACCAAGTTGCTCTATCACTCCCCTTCTCAGCAGGACAGTGGGGAAGAAAATTAGAGGGAAAAATACCTTCTGTGTTGAGATAATGCAGTTTGCTAGAGCAAAAGCAAGGGTCATGTAAGTGAAAACCAAAATATTTTATTATTTACTTCCCACTAGCAGGTGTTGTATGGCACTTCCCAGGAATGTTTCCTGAATTCCCTGACTTCAGGACACATAATGGTTGCTCTGAAAGACAAGTACTGTAAATTAGGAATGCCTGCTCTTCCTCCTCCTTTCTCTTTGCTTTTATTGCTGGACAGACATCATATGTTATGGAGTATCCCTTTAGTCTTTGGTAAACCACTTGATCTTTTTCTGGCTCTTATATTAGGTCTTTCTTCTGAAGGCTGACAACACCAGAACAGATAATTAAAACACAACAAGCAGAGAATATATGGGTAAGGTACAATATTTTTATTTTCAAGTTCTCTCTTGGGAAGATTTTCCTCTCTTTGTTAAGCCTGTGCTGGTTCTGCTTGTTCTTCTCTTACCTGACAGTTCAGTTACTGGTTTGTAATGTTGCTCACACTCTCAGTTATGCAACCATCCTGATAATGCAGTAATCCCCAAAGCATATCACTTGTGTGTATGACAAAGAAAACCCAAGATTGCTTATTGAGTGTCTCTTTTTTATTGCAGCTGTGAATCTGAGTAGCCTTCGGACAATGCCCTCTGCCAAATAAGCTGCAGTGAGGTCAAAAATCACTGCCTGTAGTTTTTAAACTTTGGAAGTAGGCAATGAGTGATGAATTTCTCCAGTTCTGAAACAGGGAGATGAGGGTAGAACTGGTTGGTCCAGGGACTGGGTTTCTTGTCTGGAGTCACAATTTACAGGGCCACTCTAAAAAAAGACCAGACAGTCTCTACAGATAGCTTCCTCCAGGTTTCCACTGACCTTTTCCTGAGTGCAAATGTGGCAGGTATTTCCTCAT